TGCAAGGCGGGAGAGGGCGCCTGTCAATGCTTCCCCTCATGTATACACAAACAAACAAACACACACATACATAAGTACATACATACATGCATTCATATGCATGTATAAGTAGTTGCATTGCAAATTATAAGAGCTCATGGCGTTATTTTCGACTGACCTATGATCAAAATACATACTTGTCGATTGAGCGTGTGAGCGAGAGAGAGAGAGAGAGCAATAATTCTTCTGCTATTGTCTCTATATCTCCTTTATCTCACGCTCTCCCTCGGACGCACACACATTTCTCATTTACTCAAATGGGGTAACAAAATCATCGTATGACTGTGTCAAAGTCCAAAATAAAAATAATTTTTAGTTTTTTTTTTTTTTTCTTTTATTTTGTATTTTGTTGGCGCTTTTGTGTGTGTTTTGCAGCTTGTTGAGCGCGCATAAAATGAGAAAAAATGCTCGGTAAGAAGATTCCAATGAAACAAACAGCAACAACTCAAATTCGCATGACGCTCTGGATATTTCATTAAATAAAAGAAAGAAGCAGAGACAGAGAAAGAGCAACAAAGCATGCAAAACAAACTAGCTGAAGACTGTGTGGGAGACTATTAAATGTATTTGATTACAGGCAACTGCAGTCAAGTGACCATAAAAACTAAAGAGCGAGAAACGAAAGAGCAGCGAGAGCGGCAGAGCAGCAAATGCGCATACAAAACACTGGCACTCGCACTCGCACTCACGCTCACGCACACTAKCATAAACAGATAAGTTGCCAGACAAACGGATTTTCGCTCTTTTGCACTCGCTCATTTCGCCTGCGCCCACAAGGCAACTGTTCCCGATCTTGTGTAAGTGTGAGTGGGAAAGTAATGTATGGCACTGACGTTGACGTTGACGTTGATGTGGTGTCCACTCTCTGCTCACACACATGCATACATGCAGTCGAGTGACCTAGACAAGCATGCGTGTAGTTATCTTTAGAGTGACCATCGTCACTACAGCTTTCCCAGAACAGCACGTGCGATGCAAAGTGAAAATTTTCCACAAGATAAAAACTCTTTGACCATGATCATGATTACTGACGACTGAGCACACGTCGCAAAAGGCCGGTTTAATGATATTTCAACCACAGAAAGAAACAAAATAATACGGGCAATTCAATGCTCCCCGTCGTTGATAAAACCGGTTAGAAAATCTTTTCGCATAAATTTCAACTTCGTGACTAAAGCAAACATTGTTTGCAACCAGTGTAGGTGTGCAGGTGTATGTGTGTTTGTGAGTGTGTTTCTTGCTATAGAAGCAAACGTGTTTAGTGCCGCATGCCAAACTTAGAACGCCACCCACAAAGGAAGAGGAAGAGACAGAGAGAAAGAGAGAGATGAACTTACATACTTATATGTTTATGTGTATGTACATATGTAAACAGTAATCATAATTATCGCAATTACTGCGTATATAGTATGTACATACATATATTCCACACATGAATGTAAATGAGACCTAAAATAGATTACATCTACAGTTTCAAGGAAATCATCAGGGTCGAATTTAAGAGAAAAATATACTTCCTATGCCAAATTTGTCTGCTTGAGTGTTATAATCACTCGATTTGCCTTTCTTCTAATACTGAAAGTCTTTAAAACCCAATGATTACTGTCTAATAAATAAATATACATTAATATTTCATTTTAATACCAATATGCCAAAATATAATATCTGACTATAATTTTCAATTTTATATAGCTTAGTTTCGTCATTAAACTAAAATTAAAGGTAGATTCCCAATATTAATTAATTATATGTAAAATATGCATGGGCAAAATAGATTGATATGAATTTTGATAAATTATATGTAAAATTAGTCCGCTAAACAATTTTCATTCCTATCAACAAGTTCAGCACTTATAAAACCTTAAATGCATATCATATCCATCTCATGATAACACTTTTGCCTATCTACACCTATAAAACTCAATGTAATTGCAACACTTTTCTACTTAAGTCAAATATATAATCATAAACACGGTCACCCCGAGAACAATAACCTGAACAAAGTCGAAAGAACAAGCGCAAGGTGGGCTTTAGAATTGTTTTTGGTTCTTACAATCAACGTAAGATTATCAAATACAGTTATATGATAAGTGAGGCGCGTCATAAAGCTTTGAATGGGCGCAAAGCACTATGGACACATGTACATAGTTGATATATGTATGTATATCCGCTCTTGATGATGATGCAACTATATAGACCTCAAGGCCTTGGTCATCAAAAAGTTCTGACAGCTGCAGGAAAGACATATTGATAGATGGTAAAAACAGACGTGAACATGATGTAACTTCAAAGAAAATTGTATGATAAAGTTGAATTGATATCTTAAAAGAGTTTAGGATATAAAGTTCTTTCAATCATCTCATTGATATAGTAAATATTTATACATTTATACATAGTAAATATTTTGAGATATGAAGTTACATTAATTAAAAGATTATTAGATCTTAAAGACATATATGAAAATATTAACATCAACACATAATATGAAATTCTCAATAGTATCGGAAAATAATCATACAAAGTTCTGATACCGTTGATAGCCTCGTATCATACATATGAGTGTAGAGTTCCAATACTGTTGATAATTTTTCCTAAAAATAAACTCACTCATATATTATACAGATATTATCTAAATTACTTTATAAATCATTTTGAAAAAGTTAAATGGCTTTACGGAATGGTTTTATCACTTTATATATTATTTAGGCCTTTGCAAAAAAGGGCAAAGGCATAAACCGAGCAGCATTACTATAATACATACACATACACATATAGATATATGTATATACATATAAAAGAAGTATATAACCCAAGCATCGCGTGACTTTCTGGCATGGTCTCAACTGCAACAGCGGAAAAGGAAAAGCGCCAGACATATTCACAACTGGGTGCAGGAAAATCGGTCGAGGGTTGGTGGTGCTGGTGTGGCAACATGCCGTGGCACGTTTTTGCTTTTCTGTAGTCTTCTTTGGCCTTTGGATATACCAGCTGAAAATCGTATGAGTTTCAGGGGAAATGTTGCGCAGCAACAAAGCACATCCAAAGCGCGGCGAAGAGAGCAACGGATAGGCCGAGCAGGGCGAAACGGGGCGAACAGGGCGAATAACATAGCAATACAATGCATCTCGCGTGTGACGTCGGCGTCAACTGTACAAGAGCGCGGTGTGAAGGCGAAGAGAGCACATACGCTCGCTGACGTTAGCCAAGGCGCGGGGCCAAAAGGTCAAAGAGCACATTGTTTACAACGTTGAGTACTGCTCCTTGGCCCCTATGGACAGGCGGCTGCTACTGCTGCTGCGCTGTTGCTGCTGTTAGCAATTGGGTTTGGCCATGAATGAAAGCTGCGGCCGGCAAAAAATATATACATACATACATGCCTATGCTACATGTTTGTATGTGTGTGTGTGTAAGCAAAGGTGTGCATATGTTACATGTATGCATGTGCGTGTGTAAGTAAATACGTTTGTATTAGCTTATTGAAAGCAGCTATAAAATATATTGAAAGATGCGGGTAGATAATGAAAAAGAAATATTGAACAAACATAAAATATAAATAAATTAAATTAAAGTAAACTGTCAAATAAATGCAACTATTCCTCTTGTAAATCTCAAATGAATGGTACTTTTGAAATTTTATTTAAAACTTAGTTTTTTTTACTTCATTTATTATTTATATTTAAAATGTTTTCCTTTGGGTTTCTCATTCTATCGCGAAAACTTCATTTACAACTCACATTTATAGTCAATCGACAAACGGTAAAAATTGAAAACCACAATTAATAAACGTGACTGTTGCTCAGCTGCCGCGTTTGATAAGACACTGCAAAGGGCATTTGCTTCCGGGCCATAACATAAAGCCGCACCCGAGAAATCAGTTCGCCGTCGCTAGCTTGCATCAACAATTTCACTGGCCATCAGCGGTCGGCTCAGCTGGGCAGCCAGAGCCTTTGCCTGCTGCTGTTGATGACAACAACATAAACAGATGACACATCGCAATACACACACAGATACACAGACACACATTCACACACATACACACGAACAGATGACCCCCAAGCAGACTCCCGCCTCGTGACCCTCAAAGTCCAGAAACAGCACAGAGCTCGCATGATTTTCAGTTGGTATATTATAAAGCAAGCAGACACAGTCGAGTGGGTGTAAAAGCAGAGCGACTGAGTCAGCCGGAGCTCATGAGCGAGCGCCAGAGCGAGAGAGAATGACGACCCTGGAAGAGAGCGTGCGCGTATTTTTACAAGAAAGCACTTGATGCACGTGCTAAGAGGGGAAGTAGCCCAACAGCCGAAAGAGAGAGAGAGAGACCAAAATGAGAAATGATGAAGCACATTAATAAAACTAAGTATTATTATTGTACATTATTTATAAAATTGTTAAATATATAATCAGATAGTCGACAAAATTGCCTCTATTAAAAAAAAATAAATAAACCTTTAACACAACAAATCAAAAAGCAAATAAACAAATGGTTTGTTTAATTTATTCTCGTTGCCATTGACAACATTGCATAATGCAAATATTGCGTGGCGCTCACTGCAATTGCTCTCCTGCAAATTGAAAACTAGGTCAACGCGCGCAATGTTTATACCACGACTACAAATTGTTCAAAATTTCAACTTATAAAGCACGCGAGAGGTATAAGTAGAAGCTGAAGAAACGTAGTATAAGACAAACTGCATTTGTATTTTTGACACGGACCATTGGATCAGGTGGCGTGATATTTGAGCCGCCACGCCGGCAAAGGGAAAACAAACGGTTGTAAGTGAGAGAGGAGAACAAATGCACGCCTATCTCTGTGCATTTGTGTTAGTGTATGTATGTGCTTGTGACCTGCGTCAGCTGAGCGATAGACATGCAAGAGTTTCTAACTACACAATCTAGTAATTATATACATTAAGAAATAGTATAATTTATAAGAGTATCACTTAAATTGATATATATATTACCTGCTGTATTTGTTAAATATTGTTACAATTTCCAGTGCATTTGCGTCGTTGTATTTGAAATGCCGTTATTTGCATTGACATACGATTTAATGACCGAGAGCGAGAGAGAGAGAGAGGCAGCGAGAGAGCGTTGAGCGCGCACATGTAATAAACACCAATAATAAATTTAATATTAAGCATGGAAAATTAGTAAACAATTAAAAAACAAATTCAACATTTTAACTACAAACAAAACACACACAGATTTAACCACACTGTCAAGCGCAATTCCATCAGAATTAGAGTGGCTGAACGTTCATTGGGCTGACTGTTCTTTGAAATGAAACTTTCACCAAATTACACACTTATGCACATTTTTTCTTTGTAGCTGCGCTTTTGCCAATTTGATGGCATGTTCACACACACACACACACACAAATCATACACACACAGGCACACACATAAGCAATCAACTCGTTGGCAACCGGACGAAAGGCGAACAACAATTTCTTACTTACACAAATCTTTAAAGTTAACGACGTTGTGCTTTCAATTGCGTTTTAAATATTTAGTATGCGTCTTAATTTCGCGCCCGCATCTACATTCATAAGTATGTATATGTTTGTATGTATGTACGTAAATGATCACTCAAACTTCTAATGGTTTGTATGTATGCGTATGAAGATATTTGTACATATATATATGTATGCGACAGCCACAACGCGTTCAGTACAACGTTCTCAAAACACGTTGAGTTTGCTTCTGATACGTGTATAAAATGTCGCCGTCGCTTTTGCTTTTGCCACGATTATTTTCACCGTCTGATTCGGACCACTCACTCACTCACGCACACAGGCGAAACTATTTGCAGTTACTCTCTCACTTTTGCGGTTCAATTGCTTTATTTTTGCTTGCTTCTGCAGCGCATGCAGTTGCACTTGATTTATTCCCTGGTTGAATATTTTAGAAATATTATGTACTATCATCAATATTCGAATTAAGAGATGCAGCGGTTTTTACTGTTACTCACACGCGGCGCGCTTCCAATTGTTTTTTTTTTATATCTTTTTCTTGTTGATGTTGATATCGTATTAAAATATCGATAGATCAAAGTGTACATATATTTTTGAAATTCTTACGCTATCGATATATAAATTGTCATTATGCTGCAGCATTTAAAGCTCACAATACACGCCTTTACCGAAATAACCGAACACTAAAAATTTACATGAAACCTAAACTTAAAATTAAGCTGAAAATAATCAAATAATATGAAGTGGCATATATCGATATTTAGGCACCATAAAAAGCATCGGTAATTTTATACGATATTTCCATAGTTATGTTATTGCTTTTGTATTTTTTTGGACTTACCTTCGTCATTATTGACTTTGCAATGACAGAGTGCATATCACGTGTTTTTGGCGTTGCCACGCAGTTGCGAAATAGCTTAACCAGCTTTTTGACTTAACGAATCATCAAAGCCTACCACCATCAGCGTGGCCACCTATAGTAGAGACACAAACCCCTTATTATGAGCGACCGCAACTTTACCAGCTCTAAAGTAGGCCACTATTTATTTTTAGCACCAAAAGAGCGCGCAATTTACCGTTGAAAATGGAAGACCGAATTTTGATTTTACGAAAATAAATAAATTATACATTTGTTTCATGGGTAACGTTGTGAAAGCCACAGAGAATTTTAACAACATTTTGATTTTTATGTCCAGCAAAGGTAGAAAATTAAAGACGCTCTTAAAAATACCAAACTAGAGATTAGTTGTAATAAAACAAGCGGAAATAAAACAGTGCAACGAGCGTAGAGCTGTAGAAGGAAAGAGAAAGAAACGTAAGTACAAGAACAGAAAAGAGAGTTTTACTGTCAAATGCAAAGAAAGCGCCATTGCAAGCAACATAAAGTTGTATGCTCTCTGCTTGCGTGACTGTTGTAAGATTCTATTTTAATATAAACATGACTAAAAATTTACTACTGGTTATATTATACGTGTCATTTATATTTATATTACAATTAGCTTTATTATTACAATTTTAACTTGATTTCTTACTGGCTTACGCTTCCAGTTAGTGAGAGAGCTTTACAGAGATCGATAGGCTTCGTTAAGTTAGTGCATGACAGAGCAGGACAAAGCATGGATTCAACTACACACTGTGCTGACTTCGCTTCCAGACAGTGAGAGAGTTTCTCAATGAGCGAACGTCTTCGTCGACTTGCCGAATGGCCATACAGCTAATGCGACAGAGCAGGACAAAGCATTGCTGCTGCTCTTTGCAAACTCTTATATTTGAGAAAAGCTTTAATATAAGTATGTATGTATATTTAATATAAGTATTAGTCATCATCAAATATAAGTAAACGAAATTCTAATATTATTGCAGATCGAAGAATCTATCTTTTGTAAACTCGTGCACCAGATCAAACTCAGCTGCAATCGTATAGATTAAAAACAAGAGATACAAAATCCATGAAAATATTCCCATAGATCGTCGCGAATGAAAATTCAGGGATAGGCACCACCACAGCTGGGTCCATATGGCCAACATGATGAATATATAACAGTTATCGCCGTACTCCCCATAGAGCCAGTCCGACGAGCCCCTTTTGCGGACGTGCGAATTGAAGAGAAAGGGAATTCCCAAACCAACAACAATACCTATAAAAATATCATAACTATATATGTATATAATAGATCCCAATAGCGTTAGCTTACTGAAAAATGGACCCGCACAGATGGCGGCAAAGACCATTTTCTCGTAGCCCTGCATGGCCAGGTTGAAGTTGGCCATCAGATCGATGAGGGCATTGGTCAAGGAGCCAATCGTAATGTCCACAAAGGTTTCGCTCAGATTGCAGGCCACGCCCACAATGGAGGTGAGTATCTCAATCTCGCCCACGCACACTACGATGAGCACTAGCGAGCTGCAGGCGCTGAGCGTGATGAAGAGCTGCAGGCGATAGCAAGTTATCGAGGATCGATAGATATATCGAGACTTACAAAATGATATCGTGGCGGCATATCGGTGCGGGAATGGAAGAAGACAATGAGGGCCAAGGGCACAGTCAGGCAGAAGGACCAAACCGAATACTTAGTATTGAAATCGATGTACCAGGACTTGTAGACGCTAGCAAACTTGGCTATGGAAAAGGGGAGGGGAATTAATATTGGATAGATTAATAGATCAAAGATCGAATAGCTCCACTTACAGTGCACCGCAGTTATGATGATGAACGGATTCGTGACAATCTGCGTGCAGTTGAGCAACTTGCTCCAGCCATGCTTGTACTTGTCGTAGTCCACGACTGGCACGAACAGCGTGATGAGCAGCAGCAGGGGCATCTTCAGGATCATCACCGTGCGCCGGAAGCAGTTGCCCACCTTCCATTCGAAGACACTGTACGGATTGATCGAGTCCCACAGATCGCCGAACAACAGGCGATTCTTCGAGTTGCTGGGCGAGTGAAGAATCGTGCGATATGTTCGATAATCATCGTCATCTGCGCCCTCAAGGGGCTTGCCAAGCTTATCTGTCTTACGTCTCTCGTAATTGATCACATCGTTCAGCTCCAAATCTTTGAGCAGCGCCATTTTCTTCCGCTGCTTCAGATCGGCATAGCGTTGTTCCCTCAACTCGGAGCGTAGCTCTGCATTGGAGGAGGTAGCAAAAAATAGGGATATTGCTAGAGGTGAGTGATGATGATCGAATCCGGTTATAACGACACTCAAGGAACCGTCGTTATACCCGGAAGGCGCTATAACCGTAGAAGTTCGCTCATAAAAGTTTGTCTGGGGACCAGAATTCTCGTATACTCATCGTTATATGATATACCGTTAGATAATTGGATTATATCTATCATGTCTAACTACATATATGTGTATAGCATAATATAAATGAAGATATATCTGTCTACGTGCAATATAGACATATGGGGACATGGAAATATGTATAGGTAGACATATATCTTTTAGTTATATCTAGCTTAAAGACCGTTAAGGGTTAAGTTCAAGCCCAATCAACTTACTTTTGATGGTATATTTGATGAGTAGAAGATCAGCTATATTGACAATCAGGAAGATGACATAGAAGCATAAGAGGACTGCAATGCGCAAGAAGAATATAGATTGATAAATGATGGTATATGGTATTGATGATATATGGATAAATAGAGCACTTACTGGAACACTCAGTCCTGCTCATTTTTTTCTCACTGACTATTAAGAAGTGGAGCAGATCGATGGCCAGGACGAGGAAGAGTAAGTTCTGGACGGTGCTGTGTCCGTCGATCTTGAAGGGTCGCAGGAAGCAGATCATGCCGCCGCAGACGAGCAGCACGGCCAGACTGTTGCCAATGACGCAGGTGAAGAGGGCGCCATGCTTCCGGATGGGCATCAGATTGGCGACGAAATCGGGCGAGGAATTGGCAAAGGCCAGCAGAGTGACGCCAGCGAAATACTCATTGAGGCGCAGGTTCAGGGCCAAGATCTTCACAGTGGGCGTAAAGCTAGAGGTAGGGGGGCATAGATCACTCTCTATGGATAGGCATGCCCCTCCAGGCACTCACAAGTGATCGACGACAATCGACATGAGCAGCAAATATGCCACCGAGGCAAGCAGCAGCAGGAAGAACGCAAAGGACTCCATCAGCTTGTCGTCAATGCGCAGGTAGCAATACATCAGCTCGAAGTAGTTGAAGAAGTTGATTATCTCATGGCAGTCCTCCAGCTTCCTGGACATCGAGCAGCGATAGTTGTACGAGACGTGCAACAAGCTGTGGCAGCTAATCTGTGTGGCAGGCATGACTGAGTGACTGACTGACTGATGGACAGRTTGATTGATTGAGATATGCATACACATACATTTGACCTAAAGTACTTGAAATCGTCTCTCAGCATTGCCATCTTGATTCACAGTTATCTTCTGTCTGGTCCAGGCATCTTACGTATATTCCAAATAATTAGTGTTAGAGATCGAATAAAGGGTTGGATTACATTCTGAAGTATATAGCTAAGGGAGTGAGATGGAGAGATTGAGAAGAGAAGAGAGACGAGACGAGAGAGAGAGAGAGAGCGAAAAGAAAAGAGAGGATAGAGAATAAAGAAAGAAAGTAAACGTAAGGGAAGCGGTGAGCAAAAAGGGAGAAGAATGAGAAGAGAATAGTGAAGAGAAGACAGGGAAGAAAGTTCGAGCAAAAGATGATATCAGGGAGGAGAGCGGGAAAGGAAACAAGGAAACGAGAGGAGAGGAGAAATAAAGTAAATAAAGCGACTATAGATAGAACAACGAAGATAGAATATTGACGAGAGGAGAGGGAAGAAAAGGAGAGAAAGTAGATGCCAACGACGAGAAGAGAGCGCAAAAGAAAGAGAAGAGGAGAAATAAAGAAGAAAAGAGGACAAAAACATAATAGGAAAGAGAAGACTATAAAGAGGAGAAAGATGGGAGATAGAGAGGCGAGAATGAAGAAAGTCAAGAGAAATCAGAGAGTATAGACGAGAGAAAAAAAGAAAGAGAGCAAAGAATTTGACGTTATATCTTTCCAGTATCCCTGCTTTCTGAGATGTACAGGATAGTAATCAAAGCGAGCTCAGCTATTAAATTTGATTTATACTCTGAAAATGTACCACAGCACATATTAATATTTATATGATTATTAATGAAAACAACGCTTAATATTTCGCTTTACAAATTGTTTTGAATTTATTTAAATGCTTTCACTTTTCAAGAACTGCATAATGAGTGTGTGAGTTATTTGATTTGGATGCCAGAAATACAGTCCATGTCGAGACAGTTCATTAACATATAACTATATGTATTTATTAATTTTGGTAAGTACCTACGGAAGGGATTCTTCTCATATATATAATTGGTATTATACTTTTTTATTTTTGCTGAGTAAACATCTCCGGTTCGTTTTCAGTTTCTCTTACTTAAATTCATCGTGTTTGTTTTTTTGTTTTTGTTGTTTTTTGTTTTTGTTTTTTTAAGCGATACTATTTTGGTTCAAGTCCTTGTGTTTTATGTACATATTTAAACTAAATTAAATGCTATAAGTTACTAGTGTGTGTGGGTTGGTTTACGATATTTCAATCTCTTGGCCATGGAAGTGCCTCAGATATAAGTACATAGCTCTGTCGATGTGTGTCGTTGTGTGTGTGTGTGTGTTACAATAAATAACTCTATGTATAAGAATGCCTTAGGTGCTAAAATACATACATACAAAGCTGCTAGGCATGCGSGCTTGAGGCGTAGCAGCTGCTATATATACTACACAAATATATATATATAATCATATGATCTATAGTCATATGCATATATCTAACATATATATTTTCCATATGGAAATTAACTAACATGCATACACATATACAGATTACAGTTAACAGTTAACAGTTTACAGTTTACAGTTCACGGTTAACAGTTTACAGTTTACAGTTTACAGATAGACGTTAATGGCTACAGGAACTAGTGCCAGGGCTAACTCGTAAAGTTGTAGCTGCGCACCGCTCGCCCGGGCGTCACCAGCTCCACTTTGATGTTCGCCGTGGCCGTCACCTTGGTGGTGTTGCTGTCCGAATGCGTCGTCTCGACGGTCACCTCCGGCTGCACCACAATGCTCTGCAGCTCCGGCGGCGCATAGCCGCCCAGCATGGGCTGCGATACCTTGTGATACGTTGGCGGCTGCGGCGGTGGCCCAGCATTACAGCTATAATTGGAGCCGTTGCCGTTGCCATTGCCTTGGCCAGAGCTGGAGCTGGAGCCATGCGGTGGTTCGCGTTGCTGATAGTTGTTCATGTTGTTCATATAATGATTGTTCAGATGATTGTGATTGTGGTTGTGATTGTGGTTGCGGTTGTGCGTGGGCGTGGGCGTGGACGGTGCACTCCAATCGTTGTGCATTTGTATGGATGAATTGCTGGACTTCCACGATTGCGGCTCCTCGGTAATGGTGGTCAGCGAGGGATCATTGATGTTGACATCCTTGTGATAGTGGTGCGCCTTGTGGCAGTTATTGGAGCGCGACGAGCCGCGTGAGCCATTCACAATGAACGATTTGTTGGAGCGCTTGCTGCTGCGCATCGGCACTGGCGATGGGGTCGATATGCGATCCGGATGCTCCAGCGGCACCAGTTCCGCCTCCGGGCCCAGCATGCTCAACAGTATGGGAAACACAATCAGGCTGTTGCAGGCGCCCACACAGAGCACGACGAGCAGCAGCCAGCAGAAGTGCCGGATGACGAACTCAAACGGGGACGTGGAGAGCATGAAGACCGCCATGCCGGAGGTGAGAATGCCATGGACGAGGGGACCCAGCGACAGCTGCATGGCCAGATGCACGCGACGCTGACGATTGCCCACCGAGGTCATGAAGCCCTGCAAATACAGAGAGAGAGAGAGAGAGAGAGAATTGCAATCAATAAATCTAAACAGAATTCTTGGGTAAGCCAGGGACACTTACCAGAGAGATGTGCACATTGAAGCAGAGGATCATGCCCACGCCCAATATGACTATCACAGCGGGTATGGCCGACAGTTTGATGCCCAGCAGGGTCATGGCGCCAAAGATTTGGGCCAGCGAGGCCAGCACCGTGACAATGACCAGAATGGCAGCCGAAACGGAGAGCAGCAGCAGCGAGACCAGCACCAAGGCGGCCAGCAGAGCGCAGGCGAGGATCAGGGCCAGCGAGGAGCGCAACGTCATGTACTGTTCCCAGAAGATGAAGGGAATGCCTAAAAGGAGAACAGAGAGACATTTCGAATTAACATTCATTCATCTATAAATCTCCCAGTCGTGCTGCCTACCAGACGGATAGTTGGGTAATCCATAGCCTTCAAACTTAACGCTCAGATCGCGTATGTGTCCAATCAGTGTCTTGATCTCCGAGGTGTCGGTGAGGCCATGCAAATAGAAGGGCATCTGGGCGTAGACCAGGGGCAAACTTTTGGGTATCTTAACATCGTATTCGTTGGGTGCATGATAATACTGGCGCGGTTCCGGATACAGCTTGGCCTGCAAGAGATTGAAGGATTACAAACTGTTCTCTTCTGTTCTTCCGCTTTCTTTTTTTTTGGACTCACCTGTGAGGCGCCGTAGCCAAAGACATCGTTGGTGGCCCACGCTGAGAGATAGTTGTAGAAGGCCTTGGGATTGATGATGCCATCCCTGTCGACGAGTCGATTCGTCTCCACCAGACTCTTGTCCACCGGATTGTCCACATAGCCCGTCTGCACCATCAGCTTGTAGGCGAGGATCGCATCGCTGCTGGCATTCGGATACCACTTCTCCTTGTTGAGTCGGCCGTCGCGCAGCTCCTCGTCGAAGATGCGTTGCAGATTCTTCAACCAGTCGCGGAACAGCAACAGCCAAAAGTCCGGCAGTCCCCCATTGTCGTTCTTGATGACGTGCGGCACCCGGACGAACGCCTCGTGGTAATCGCAGAGCAGCTTCTGCTGCGTCGGATACTCAAAGTTGCCCTGGGTGACGGCGTACATGCTATAGAAGCCAAACAGACGCGTCTGGGCATCGAGAAACTTGTGCTCGTTGCTGTGCTTGGGCACCAGGTCAATGATGTCCAGGCCATCCTGCAGCGCGGTCGCCTCGTACAGGCTGAAGATCACCGCGCAGAGGAAGCCCATCACGGCGAGGAACTTCACCCAGCTGCGCATGAGGAAGGGCGTATAATACTTATAGGCAAAGCTGGCCAGCGAGAAGCTGGGCAACGAGCTGGCTAGGCCGCCAGCCAATGGAGCACGCGACTCCAGCAGCGGATTCTGGGCAAGCTGCTGCTGTTGCTGTTGCAGCTGCTGCTGCTGTTGCTGTTGCTGCTGGCCCGTTCGGTTGTTGTTGCAGTTCTTGGGATGACGTCCGCCGCGCATGCTGTTGTTGTTGTTCATGGCCAGCGCTGGGGAGGACTTGGGCGGCTCCTTCCAGACGGGAAAGCAACAGCAAAAGATGTCCGCACGTCCGGCGGTGCGACGGCGCAAATCCAACGATATCATGGCCGGAAAGACGAGCAGAGCTGCGGCCAGATTGAAGCACATCACGATGGCCGACTGCAGGCAGAAGACCTTCAGGGCGGGCACCGGAATGAACACGGCCGCAAAGAAGGAGCCCGCCGTGCTGCAAGCGCTGAACAGGATGCTCGGTCCGACCTTCTTCAGTATCAGTTTGGTTTGCTCCTTGCGATTGCTCTCCGCATAGGCGGCCGTCAGCATGAAGATGTGATCGACGCCCAGGCCCAGGGCCAGGAACGGCACCACCTGGGTGCTCGCCGCATTGAACACGATGCCGAGCAGGGCGCACAGCCCCAGCCCGGCTGCCGTGCTGAAGCACATCAGCAGTACGCCGGCCACGCCCACACTGCTCTGGCCGCGCACCGGATCACGCCAGCGGAGCAGCGTACAGAACGCATAGAGGACAGTGGCCGCCACGCCAATCACAATGCTGACGGCGCTGGGATGCGAGAACTTGGCCAGGATGTCGTCCAGGGTGGCCGAGCTGAAGACATAGATGTCATAGTTGGCCGCGATGCGGGACTGCTTGCGCAGCAGTTGCTCCACCTCGCGGGAGAAGTTCCGCTGCCAGGCATTGAGCACCTCGGCGGCCTTCTGCTGCGTCCAGCCGAGGGTGTGCACCTTGTAGTGTCCCTGCCACTGGTCGTACATCTCCTTCTCCGTCATCAGCTGCACCACCGTCTGCAGCGCCTTGGCCGTCTTCAAATGGCCGCTGCGATTCCGCTGCGCCCCGCCCACAATCAGCTGCTCCGGCCAGTGCATGTGCTTGGGCGCAAACCCGTAGCAGCCCCCAGAGAGTATCGCGCCCACGTCCGGTGGCTGCTGGCTGTTCTTGTTGGGCGCCGTGTCCGGGCACTGCGGATGCAAGGGATTCAGGCAGGGCTTCTCCATGTACCCAGTGCCAATGGCCGCTCGCTTCATGTACTGCTCGACGGTTTCGAAGT